AAAATAGGCGGTCTGGTGCCAAGTCAGTATTAAGTATAGGTTATTTTGAGGCAACGAGGGGATATGTGATTTATTCACCGAGGCGCGCAGCGCCGAGGTGAATAAACACATATCCCCGAGGTGCCTCAAAATAACGTACTTATTTTTCACACTGCGAGGTCGCGTTAATGAGTCAGAAAAGAAATAATTCTCAATGCCATATTGCTTTTGCGATGTTGCTTTTCTCATTTTTTGTGCTGCAAAGACATTGCAGGTGAATATTAGAGGGGATTATTAATTGCAGGTGAATATTAGAGGGGATTATTAAACGGAAATTGAATAGAGTGGAATATTGAATATATTCCCCGATAAGAACAAAGGAAACCGAGCAGGGTGAAAAATAATGTATAAAATACTTAACGACCACACTGCGCCAGGTCTCCGGGGGTCATTCGTGAGAAGAGAAATAGATCAAACTAATTATCATCTTCGAAATACAGCAACTGATCTAACAATTCCTAAACCGAAACGAGAATTTCTTAAAAAAAGTTTTAAATATAGCGGCGCTATGCTCTGGAATCAACTCCAAAACGAAGCAAAATTGGCCGAGTCGCCTCATTCGTTTAAATCAATTGTTGGACAGCGACATGCTTCCTAATTATTTGTATATAGTAACGTGTACAGTATGTGTGTACTAATATTTAGTTTAAATTTTCCTTTTAACGATTTTTAAGATCTAAACACGCCCCCCATGGAAACCAGCCTAGAGTTGATGGGGCAAGCGTGTTCTTCTTTCTGTTAATTTTAAATAAAGTATTACCTACCTACCTAAAATGTATCAGATAATATCTAACAAATATTGGGTAAATTTGTCAATACGTACGGTTGCAAATGTGCTTTTAAGACATTAGCGACCATTCATTATTTATGACCGGGGGTGGGCTGGCAAAATTCAATTAACAACTAAACAAAATGTCCTGCCCCACCCCCTGCATCACAAAAAAATTCAATTACCCCCCTCATATGAATTCTAAAAAATAGTAACCCCCCCTATTATAAATGTACAGTACTGTATATAAATGAGCTCTTTAAACTTGTTGTAAAAGGCATCAGATTTTTCATTTACTTGTGCTTTCAACAATTAATATGCATGCTTATTTAACCCATTACGCTGCAGAGTTTCCTGTTGACGAGTAAAATCATCTGGCGTTAAACAAGTAAAAAATAAGTACTGGGGCGCAATGAATTAACTAGAGACATTGTCAGATTTTTTGGTAACCCATTAAGCTGCAGAGCGCCGAAGAAGCTAAAGCTGGGGGTCATACCATTTTTCACTACTAAGAGTATAGTAAAAAGTTGATCAAAAAGGAAAAAGTTACTTGAAGTTGTTCGAGCCGAAAAAAGTTCCATTTTGGGTCTATCTGTTCATTAAAATTGAGAATTTTGCTAGCTATACATGAATTAAATTTGAAATTTGCTGTGTTGGTGTAATGTACTCAGGTGAATAAGATGTTTGTGTGATGTTACTCTGAGTGTATATCCACACCGGGCAGGCTTGAAAAATATGCCTGGCCACGGTGGGAATCGAACCTATGACCTTTGGAATACCAGCCCAATGCTCTGCCAACTGAGCTACGCGGTCAGGACGGTTCGAGTATGCGATATTTCGGAACTAATTCTAGTTCCTTCGATATCAGTGTAATCTAATAATCGTGAAATTTGCTGTGTTGGTGTAATGTACTCAGGGAGGGAAATTTGTCTACGCATTCGCTACAATTTGCGCGGTTTAAGAGAAAGAGACTTGGGGCGAGTAAATATAGTAATTTGATTATTGAGCGTTTTATTGGCGTTTTTAGTCTCGTTTTTTCTGCTAACCAAAAATTGTTAATCTATTGCATTGTTGGGAAGGCGAGGAAGGTATGAGAACGTTCAGAGGTTAAAAAAATGTATAAAATTGCAACTTTTGCGTAACCTTATACATCATAACTGCCTCGGATTCCGATGGAAATGTCCAATAATTCCTACTATTCCGTATTTTTAGATGAATGAATAATCTCCCAATATAAAGTACATGTTTTAAGGAGTAGTTTAAACCATATTTGGTTTTGAGGCTCTCGGCTAGATTTTAAAATATTTTAATTTTTTTTATTTCATTGTGTTAATCTTTACCCCCATAAATCACCCCGTATTAAATTGGAGAGAGATGGAAACGTATTCGCATGATTTCAAAACTGCTCATATTTTCTGAATCAATAGACTCTAATCTTTCAATGGATATGCTTTTACGAACAGGATTATAGCAAACACATGCAATTTCTAGCGGAATATTCAGAGGCACCCGATTCAGACTATTACAGACTATATTAGACGGTTGTGCCGTTTTTGGTATCAACCCGTATTTTCATATATTTCATTTCATATTTGAAGAATAATTTAGAGATACTCTCGTTTTGAGGCTCTCGACTAGGTTTTTTACAATCTTAAGTTGAAAATTTAGCTTTTTCGTATTTTTAGCAAAATCACGATTTTTGCACTAAATGTATTCAAGGATTTAACCATAAATAAACTTTCTAAAGTAATTTCTGAGTAGAAAAATGCGTTAAAAACAAATTTTAAACCCATGTTTGAAAAAATTTAATGCATCTTTGAAAAAATTTAAATTTCGTCAATATTTCGTCGTAGAAATAAATAATTTATAATTGTCCGATTTCAGTTTAAGGTCTTTTATCCAGGACATTTTTCAACAGCCTTTGAATAAACGAACTTAAATTCTTGTACACCACTGTTTTCGTCCCAAACGAGAAGCCCCAAAACTTGTTTTTGCTAATTTTAATAATTTAAAACAAATTTTTCGCTAGCGCCCGCAATTTACTCAGGTGAATAACTAATAAGCCTGCCAGGCATATCTTTCAAGCCTGCCCGGTGTGGATATACACTAAGAGTAACATCACACAAACATCTTATTCACCTGAGTACATTACACCAACACAGCAAATTTCATGATTATTAGATTACACTGATATCGAAGGAACTAGAATAGCTTAGAATTAAATTTTTCTGTGTTGGTGCTGTGTACTCAGGTGAATAAATATGTTTGCGATGTTACTCTGAGTGCATATCCACACCGGGCGAGCTTGAAAAATATGCCCGGCCACGGTGGGATTCGAACCTACGACCTTTGCAATACTAGCCCAATGCTCTTCCAACTGAGCTACGCGGTCAGGACGGTTCGAGTAAGTGGTATTTCGGAACAGTATCTAGTTCCTTCAATACCAATGTGTTCTAGTAATATGATTTTTTCTGTGTTGGTGCTGTGTACTCAGGTGAATAAATATGTTTGCGATGTTACTCTGAGTGCATATCCGCACCGGGCGAGCTTGAAAAATATGCCCGGCCACGGTGGGATTCGAACCTACGACCTTTGCAATACTAGCCCAATGCTCTTCCAACTGAGCTACGCGGTCAAGACGGTTCGAGTAAGTGGTATTTCGGAACAGTATCTAGTTCCTTCAATACCAATGTGTTCTAGTAATATGAAACTTACTCGAACCGTCCTGACCGCGTAGCTCAGTTGGAAGAGCATTGGGCTAGTATTGCAAAGGTCGTAGGTTCGAATCCCACCGTGGCCGGGCATATTTTTCAAGCTCGCCCGGTGTGGATATGCACTCAGAGTAACATCGCAAACATATTTATTCACCTGAGTACACAGCACCAACACAGAAAAATTCATATTACTAGAACACATTGGTATTGAAGGAACTAGATACTGTTCCGAAATACCACTTACTCGAATTCAATGCGTGATATTCAATGCGTGAATTCTCAAAATAGAGAATTTCTTTGTACATTTTCAGACAATCCTGGCAAAAATTATTGTGGACAGCGCGCGCGAAAATACAAATACCTGCCTTACCGAATACATACGTGCAAAAACAGCATTTTAATACTCGTTCACTGTTGAAATCTTATAAATCGGTCGGGTGAAAGCTTTGCGACTGATGCCTGTTAAAACCAACATTGGAGGAGGAGCCGGGGGGACAAAAGACGTCAACATGTGTGTGTGAACAGTGATACTTTAGTTTACACGTAAGACTAAGATTGTAGTTTTCAGAATCAGCGGTATCGAACATAATAAAATGTCTGTGAAAATTTATACAAAAATGTAGATTCCAACTAAAAAATGCTGGGAATTAACTACGTTCCCAGGTTCCGTACTTTTCCCACCTCCGTATGGATGGTTCACAAGAAAAGAGTATATAAGGAAAGGAAACGCGGAAGCAACTGACATTTGCTGAACTCGAGATTGGGGTGTTGAGGTCTGTTGACAGATACCCCCAAACATATTTTTAATATTATCCAATAAATTTAAAATAGCTTAGTTCATAAATGAAATCATACTAATCAGTTATTAAACTATTAAAATGCATAGTTGAACATGTAACAATTTATTGGGAAAGTCGGTAACGGAATTTTGCAAAATATTGGGCTTGTATTCAAACTTTAAGCAAGTAGCTGTATACCTTCGTCTGAACATTCATAACTTCACGCCCAAAATCGCAGCTAACTTTGAAATGGCTTGTCTTTGCCTTTGATAGTCGGCGGCCCAGACGTGATTTTCCACGCTCATCAGTTCTTCGCTCGAATTAAAAAACTAAGACTATCTGGCTATGCCTTGACATGGCATGTATAAAGTCTGCTGTATAATTGACTGTTTTGCATGCAATAATGGATTCTTTGTATATAGAATATTATACATGTATAACTGGAAAGGCGTAAAGCCAATGTAACATTTTGAAATCCATACTTCAAATTTTACAAAAGCCGGTTATTTCCTACTCTGTTTAAGTAGATCAAACTTATGTGACTGTTGTTAATTGAGTGTTAAAACAACTCTCTCCCCCCCCCCGGATTTTTTTCAAGGCTTAATTAAGATGATATATATAATTAAATATACGTAAAATAGCTGATATAGAAAAACTTGATAAGGACTGAAAAAGTCAATCATTAAAATTTTCCTATACCTCTGATTAGCCATCCGTTCACATTTTCTATCCTGTAACTGAATTATTGTTTCTGCATTGGGGATGCGCGGAGCTGGCTGATATTTTGCATTTTCTCCAAGGCCAAGGGTTTTCCACTGTGAGATCCTGTCAACTGCCTTTCCATTATTCATTCTTGCTTTAACACTTCCATCATCTTTTCTGATTTTGCCTTTTTCAAATAGCAATCGTTCAATGACTCCAATCTTTGTTTGACTACGATTAGATTTCGCTGCGTTTAGAGCTCCTACATCTTTAAAGTTGTAGAGGCATATTGTAAACATGAAAAGAATGAGATAGTTTAGCCACCACATTTTCAGGCTACTTGCGCAATGAAAATCAAATCTCCATTTACAGTATACTCAACGCAAACCAAAGGCGACGTGCAATTTGAAATGTAGATCAAGTATGCAAGCACTTTATACTCGCGGACTTAAATAATCATACGTCAACTAGTGTTAAACAATATAGAAAGTGTAATTTGTCTTATCCTTGGTATAATCAGTTTGTATGCTAATATTAATAACATTTGCAATTTTATATGAAAAGGAAACAATTTGCATGTATTGTTGATTGTTTAATTTAAGTTGATTGTGTGGCTTGTCAACATTTATGCCTTCTGCTATTTTGATTTAATCCATTGTAAGCCATTGGATTAAAAACAATTAGAAAATTAAACAAAGGACAAATCATTGCTATAAAATTCCATGTTTTAAAAGTGGTTTATCTTGTCTTGCTTAAAATGTAGTTGAGATGAATATTTAATCTCGTGACATATATGTGTATAAGCTTGATTGTTTTATTCGATGATTCTAATTGAATCAAAAAGGTTTTTACGGTTTGCATGCACGAGAGTCAACATCACTACCTGCAATATCAATAAATAATACCAGATTATCTAAGGGGCAATTGGCTGCAGATCCGATATGTATGCTTTTCGGAACTGTGATTTTTTTATTTATTGGCTTTGTGCGCAATAGCCTTTCGTGAAAAGTTTGTTCAGAACTATGAAATAGAGTAATAGACCTTTCTTATAATGACGTCAGACCACGGGCAATACCAATTTATGCGATGTCCCACGGGACAATGCGACTCGTTGGCGAGCCAATAAATTTCTCGATAAATTTGTTAAAGAACATTTGCATTGCGAATTGTTGCCGAGTATATAAACTATAATAAATTGTCCATTATTTTCATATAAGTTATAACGGGACTAGCTAACAGTCGTGGGTCGTGGGTGGAATGTCGTGGGTCGTGGGTAGAATGTCGTGGGTCGTGGGTAAAAAGTCGTGGGTCGTGGGTAAAAAGTCGTAAGTCGTGGGTAAAAAGTCGTGGGTCGTGGGTAAAAAGTCGTAAGTCGTGGGTAAAAAGGTAGGTAGGTAGGTAGGTAATACTTTATTTAAAATTAACAGAAAGAAGAACACGCTAGCCCCATCAACTCTAGGCTGGTTTCCATGGGGGGCGTGTTTAGATCTTAAAAATCATTAAAAGGAAAATTTAAACTAAATATTAGTACACACATACTGTACACGTTACTATATACAAATAATTAGGAAGCATGTCGCTGTCCAACAAGTGATTTAAACGAATGAGGCGACTCGGCCAATTTTGCTTCGTTTGGGAGTTGATTCCAGAGCATAGCGCCGCTATATTTAAAACTTTTTTTAAGAAATTCTCGTTTCGGTTTAGGAATTGTTAGATCAGTTGCTGTGTTTCGAAGATGATAATTAGTTTGATCTATTTCTCTTCTCACGAATGACCCCGGAGACCTGGCGCAGTGTGGTCGTTAAGTATTTTATACATTAATACTGACTTGGCACCAGACCGCCTATTTTCAAGTGTATCCCAAGAAAGCATGTTGAGAGGATCAGCTGAGCGAGTATCATAATTAGCACCCGTTAGGACTCTTGCTGCACGAGACTGAAATCTTTGCAACTTGTCTCTTAGCAACTTACCACAAGTGTCCCAAAGGGGGAACAATAATCAAAGTAGGGCTGCACAAGACTTTTATAAATCGATTCTAAGGTATGCATTGGAACAAAGGGCTTTATACGTTTCATCGCGCCAATAGCAGCGCTCGCCTT